GTAAAGTGAGACCAGTCGGTCTCGACCCGAAACAGATCGAACAAGTTGTTGGCGGTTCTGATTCTACTCTTTCCACCTTTGTATATTCACAGGAAAGATTTCGTGAAGGAATGACTGCATACGTGATTGAAGCAGAGATGCCACTTACAATAATAGACTCATTACATTTTACACAACTCATGCAGAATTATCTCTAACCTAGGTATACTTCTTATTATAGAAATTTTCTTCGTTCAGACAATATAAAATTATATAACAAAAAAAAAAAAAAAACAAGTTGCTATTGAAGGTCTAAAAACTTTTAATAATGTTATATCATTTACCTCTAGTGTTTACGATAGCATCGAATGCTGCATTTAGTTTAGGTGATTGAGTTTTATCAGACGAACGATCAAGACTAAAAGAAAATATATTCGATCCTTTAATGTGCTTGAAATACTGTGAATGTGCAGAATTACATATTCAAGAACAAGTTGACTAATGGCTGAAGAGTTGCAGCAGATCCTAGTATAGGATATTGTAAGCTTTTAAATTGATTAGTTTTAAAAAAATACGTATTTTTTAAATTTATTTGTTTCAAGAAAAATTGTAGACAAAATATTTTATTCGTATACAATTTTAACTCCTCTTACGTTGATTGTAGCCGATCCCAAGCTTGGAAAAATGAGGAAGGTTCTAACTTTTATTTAATTTATAATTTGTATAAATTGCACAAATTCTATATTATTTAAAAAATGTTAGATTGGTCACGAATTTAATAAAAACAATGAGCCGACTAGGCTGGCTCTCTAAGGCCCGAGCTGAAAGCTCGCGTTGAGCCTTTTTGGCCGAACAAAAGTTCGGCTCAACTCGGACCAAAAAAATCCGAATCATTTTTATTCGAGTCGAGCCCGAGCATTGAGTTTCGGCTCGACCTGTTGACATTCCTAGGAATTTCACATGTGTAGCTTCGATCTCGCATAGTCACGTGTTGATGAACGTGTTGGCTCAATTTTGGTGTTTGAGTCTCTCTAATATGCGTTACTTAAAAAACAAACGCTTACGATTCGGAAAGTGTGACGTGCACCCGCTCAAGAAAATGATACCTTTCAAAACAAAGATGGGTACCCGAGACTGTGAATGGATCTAAAATTTGGTTGGTTTTGCCATCACTTAAATTTGTAATTAATCTATTGGCTCCAATTCAATCATGGAAGGTCATAGATACTAGGAGTTTTTTTGAAGCCAGATGCAAATATTATCATGAAATCAAATAGTTAGCAATAGTAAACTGTACAGATAAACGACTGCAATCCAACTAACGGTGTGGGCGACTTGATTCGCAACCCGAGGAATAAAGTGGCAAGAACTTCAATTAACATTTTAGAGTACCTTTACAATGTTTGATCAAATATTATAAGTGCACACACCAGGAGAGGAAAGACATTTGTTACGCCTCATTCGATAAGGCTCCAAGCATTGACTACGTGGTAGCCAGCTAGCAAACCAAAATCAGACCCGCACTCCAAGTTACTATCCATAGGCCTAATCAAGGCAATCTGACATACATAGTTGAAGTGA